GGTACAGGAAATATGAGTGAAGATAATCTGTAATACTCAGGAACTTAGCTAAAAAGACTGATTAAAACCTCCCTGAGTAAAGCAGGAACAAATACTTAAACAATATAACTATTTACATACACATACATGTAAATCCTTAAAATAGAGGTAGAGTATAAGTGTCAAGACAAGAGGTAGAACTATAAAGGACAGCAAGATAAATATCCCAAATTATATCAATATATAAAATGTCTTGAAAACAAGAAAAGTATACATACATAGAATATGGTAAAAAATAATGTGCATAAAACATTGTAAGTGGAAAGATTTAACACAATATAACAAAATATAAACTTAATTTTACATAGCTTACCACATAAGAATACATAACAATGTAAGCTGTAAAATACTATCCCATTCTTACTCAAATTCTCAAGAAAATAGGCTAATCTACCTATATCCCATCTAAACCATACCTTTCCCAACCATTCCCTATTCCTGTCTAAAAGATAAACCCGAGTGTAAGCATCACCCGATCCTAAATAACTAAAACCAACCCAAAGACGATGACTATTATCCCAAAATTCCAAGGGTAGGGAAAGGGGGCGTCATTATCTTAAGGTTTCTTCCCACGTTGGGCACCATCTGTAAGGAGTACGGCTTTTCGGCCTGCTGCCCAGTCTCGTCCTGATGCCGTGCCAGCCCCAAATAATACACAGAGACTTTGTATTTGATACAATACTGTTGGCCCGGTTACTTGTTTTTTATCGGCTAGCTCTGCCTTTAATTATTAACCCATTTCTGTTGATCTATGTATTTTTACATGGCCTTTTCTTACCAGGAAGGTGGCTGGCATCCAGCTCTCTCCAGACTCTCCATTTTGACCCCTCCTTACTACTTCCTCTTCCTCCTTGTCTCCTAGTCCCTCCTATCTTCCTTTCCTATTGGCCAACAGTGCTTTATTTATTAACCAGTATGAGAAACATATACAGAATGACATCTCCCATCAACTCAGCAATGATCTTATGTGCTGTGTGAATTACACATTCAAGTGTGCATAGTTTTAGGCTAAAAGGATGGTTTGTTGATGGCTATTTCTTTTGCTTTGTCATCTCAAAAAAATGTATCTAATATTTCAGTATAGCAATGCTTGAGTTTTCAGAAAAAATACTTTATTATACTGTATTTCAAAATGTTTTATAACAATAATATTTAACTCTAATAGGACTTAAGACACACTCAACTTGCTTTAGACCAAGTTCTGCAAAGAAGGAACTTAATTTCCCTAGACAGACCTCTCAAAATCAGGATGCAGAATTTGAATGAATTCAGTAGGAAAAGTACCACATTTAATGCTAACTTCATATCTTCTTTTATCTGAGAAACTTTAAGTTATTAAGCAAGTGGCTAAAAACAAGAATGTCAATAACCTTAACTGACAGTGGCATAATATAAGATAAAATAGGAGCTCTTTGGTGGTTTTCCTATCAAGTGTTTAATTTCTTTTTCTGAGGGAGTATGTGTATTCGTATGATTGGGGAACAATGAAGAGTTTCACTGTGCCTGATTCTATATGTATCATGTGCTCAGCACACATGGTCCTTGTTTTTCATTTAGGTTATACAGCATATAAGAATTAAAAGAGAGAGAGAGAGAGAGAGAGAGAGAGAGAGAGAGAGAGAGAGAGAGAGAGAGAGAGAGAGAGAAAACAAAGCAATGGCATACCTAAGATCACCATTACTTTTTGGGTCTCTTTACCTGGAGTGCTGGAACAGCTCCACCTTTTCATTAGGAGTAGGACTCAGTCTGTGGCATTTTCAGTTACCTTTAGGCCATCTCAATTGACAAGACCCACACTGGATAGGAAGGAGAGGATTCGATCTGATTCTCTTCTTTCTTTAGAGAGTACATGTTCCAGTCATTTAGTGATTGGATCTTGGGTCTGCAATGACAAAGTGCTACAGACAGCTATGGCTTACACTTGAGACTATTTCTCATGCAGCTGGAGGTTTGAGGTACTCAAGAGCATGGATGTCACAGGCAAACTTGTTGATTATGAGGTCTCTTCTTTGGGTTTTGGAGAGAGCAAGCAGCTCACTGTGTGCTCACACGTCCTTTCTGTGTGCTGAGAGAAATGGGGACAGAGGAGTGCAATCATAGAAACTGCCAGCAATGTTTCACCAGAAGAGACATTCACATGCTTTCCTACTTGTTATTTATCCTCTTACCTGACAAGACACTGGAAGTTCAATATCTTAAACACTCATCTATATTTGTACACATATGCATATGGATACACTCATGTTCTGTAAACATCACAAGCTACCAAGATGCAAATAAGACAGGGAAGATCACTCAACTCTATTCTTACCATTCCTTTTCTCGGAGCAAAAGCATCTTAACTTATCAAACCTGACAAAGACTAGACAGCACTGCAGGTCTTTGGCTCTCAAAACTAAGACTTCTGTCTACTTAGCACCACATTTACTCAAGTAGATAGGCCTTCTTTTTATAGAAGCAAAGGTTAACACAATTTTAAAGCTTTTTCTCTGAGCATAGAAAAATATGCCATATTTGCCTGAATAACATATCTGGTCTGGCAAACATTTTATGTTCCCTTAACCCCTGAGCCTCATAGCCACTGCTTCCAACGTATGCACCAAGTGAAGAGACAATGGGTATTAGGTGGACTTAGTCAGGCTCTCTCAAAGGAGCACAGATCCACAGTAACTGATGGAATACACAAATGTCTTTGATATGTTTTATTTTTAAAAATACAATGGTGTAGAAAGAAATGGTGCAACCAAACAAGTTCTCTTATATTTTGATAAGTCATTTTACTAGCCTCAAAATTATATAGATATGCATATATGTACATATACAGAAATACAATTTTGTGTCATATACAAAACTGTTTATTATAGTCTTCTCAGAGATGTATTTCTTACTTCATAAGGGTATAGAAATTTGGAACCAAATTTTTAACTGTCTTTACAATGATTTATACTTATCCTTCTAAATATTTCAATAATTATCTCAGAGAGGCATTTCAAAATATTTCAAAAGAATTCTGATCAAGAATGAATTTTAAATATAACCCGATATGATAATTAACCATGTAAGGTTAGGAATGAGAAAGATCATTACCCCAAATATTTGAATTTTCATTTCTTTGCTCAAAACCCTCCTTTATGATCTATGGAGATGGTTCAGTCAGGAAAGTAGCTGCAATGCAAGAATGAGGATCTGACTTCAGTTCCCCAGTACCCACCTTTCCCCAGTACCCACCTTTCCCCAGTACTTTGCTCTTGTAATATGAGCACTGTGAAGTGAGAAACAGGGAGAACCAAAGTTGTAACAATTAATGAGCTACAGACACTGGGATATTTAATATTGAAAAATAAGATAGAGAAGTATTTGAAGAAGACATTTATACACATGAACTTAATATACATTCACACACATATACTCATATACCTATGTATACACACATACATATGCACACATACCCAATCTTATTTTGAAATGCTTATGTATAAAACCAATGAATAGCAATTTAACTTAAACTTAAAATAAGTTAAAATACAATGTATTATTATCCCCCCTTTTTTGCATAGAATAAATTAAAGAGTTCCAGTTTTGCAATATGAGGGAATCTAAAGGAATTTGTATGCCAGTCTTCAGATAGAATTTTTTTTTGTTTCCACACTGTAGTTATTTTGATGAGTAAATATGACAGCTATTTCATGCCATCAAGAGTAGGCTTTATGATAGTGGACACTTCTTTCACATTAACTGAGCACATTTGTTACAGGAAGGAACAGGAAGTAACTACAGACCCTACAGCTCTCCTGCCCTTGATGAACCGGTTAGAGGTAAAATAGGACAGAAGGACCTTCATTCTCTTTAGTAGGGAAAAGTAAACACAATGACTGACTCCAGAATTAGTTGGTTTACAGTAGAAAAATGAAGACTAGCTCATTCATCTTTCACATTTAGCCAATGTGAAGATTTTAACATTTCTTTATTGCACAAACTAATTAGAAAGATGTCATTTCACTTAAGATTTGGAGGAAGAAATAATTAAACTGATATCATTAAAACAGAGAGCATAAAGGGCATGATGTAATAAAATGATCGCTTTCAATTGTCACATTAAATATTTAAGGATCATCTCAAGGGGAGAAATAATACCACATCAAGAATAAACTGAATCTACTTCCCAACTTAATATTTAATGTTTCCTGTTGGTTTCATGAGTTTAAACACTGTATCAATATTCTTTGAATAATTGTGTTCCCACCTAGTATAAATTTTTCTTGGTGTCTACCTAATAACAATGGAAGCAGATACAAAATTTCTTTGCCATGATACCTAAAACAAAGATCGGGTGTCCTCATTGTATCAGCACAAGACCAGTATTATTTTCCTTCCTGACCCATTTCTCTACAGAGTCCAGATTCCTTCATGTGTTTGTGTAGTTAGTGTGTACTTCCTCCTAACTTAAAATTCTACCAGGAAGCACATCACTTTATTTATACACAGCTGAATAAATAGTGTTAAAGACAAGACAGTCAGAGATCACTGCCAACTCCGTTTACAAGGGAGACCCACAGTCAGTGCTCAAATAGGCATGACTTGACGGGACTCTGTTTTCAAAACAAAGAAAAAGTGCTGAGGCAAAATGGTGTGGACTAGAACACTGAGTCTGAAAGAGGCCCCCAAAGGGAGATGGATTCCACTTGGAACACCAGCTCTAAATTAGCAGCACTCTGCCTGAAGATGCTTTTCTATATGTAACAAGTTTCTTTGTTTCTCTTAAACTGATTTATTGTTGCTAGATTACAGAATGTTCCACAAACAGAGAGTTTTGTTTTTTCACCATCCCGTTATTCTTTTCATGGTGGCTACAGACACAGTTTAAAAAAAGGTTCATTTGTAAGTGGGTTTTCTATAATGAGAGATAACTTGCTTCCTCTGCTCATACTATAGCCTACTAATTTCTCCATATTTCTTTTTAGATCACTCCTGTTCCTGGCACACATCCACTTCTAGTTTTTGTCAACCCCAAAAGTGGTGGGAAGCAAGGAGAACGGTATGTTTTAAAAGTTGTTCCCTTTTTTCTATAGCATAGGAATAAAAAGATAAACTACATTCATGATGTAAGCAACATTACTTCTAATACCTAAATGTAACAAACTGCTATCAATCACTTCTCTTTTATATTTGAAATTTTCATATGATGGCCTTTTGTAAGTATTTTAACTATCAGAATGTGTGTATTTTCAATTTTTCTACCCCCCCCATGACCTTTGCCTCCTAGAAAAGAGTTGGTATATGGCAGGTATTCATAAACAATGTTGAGTTGAAATTGTTTTTCTAGGTGGTCAACAGGTAAGCCCTAAGTAATCACAGCCATTATAGGGAATAGAATTTATATGCAACATCTAGTCAAAATATATTATGGTGATTTTATGTGTACATTTTAGGATTCATGATACTGTTTTCCTAGTTGAATCATAACATATCTGATATGAATAAAAACTAACTACATCAGACATCTCAGTATGTATTTAGCCAAAATAACCTAAAATTTACTTTTGCAATGAATTAGTAATTAAGTCATAATTTGTAACACAAATATGAACAGCAAACTGAAGAGTGTTTTCTAGTATAAAATTATAAAATCAGCCACACCTTCCTTAACTCTGCTGGGATGTTGTTTTTAGTCTCATGTATGAAAAGAGGTTTTTAAAAAATGACTGTAGATCAGAGTCCATTGTTGTTTACAACAAATGACAAAGATTTCCATCCCAATAAAATTTGAAAATTAGTTTTTCTTCTGTCATTTAACTTTTCAGAGATGTTGACTAAATGAAGTTTATTTTTTTTCTTCCCATAAAATATAGTAAACTATTGCTTTTTCACAGCATTTAATTATGTTTTACTCTGGCAAATATTTAAGCTAATAATGACTCAAATCTTTAAAGTTCTACAATATTTCATTAAAGAGATGAGTTGCCTCACTTGTGAAAATAGATATTAAATAGTAATGCAAAGTTACTTTTCTGAAAACCTTATTACTTGTGCCTTTGTAATTCAGTTTATTTCAGAAATAATGAAGAACATGAAAATGTTAATTATTAACAGGCTGTCGTATGGTGTTTTTAATACATTGTTTAATGTATAATCGGGCTAAACATATCTCCTCAAATGATTATCATTTTCTTTGTGGTGAAAACTGAATTTTTTTTTACTAGCCTAATGAATTGTGCATTATCTCTTGCTACATAACTGGGCAACAGCACATCAGGACATTTTGTTCCCATGAAACTGTACCTTAGTGCCCGTTTATCAAACCTTCTCACAGCTGTTCCCTCTCCATGATTACCACAGCCTTTGCTAAGTTACAATGTACTCTCACCTCTGAGATCATCATGTTTATATTCCATAATGTGATCATGCTGTACTTACCCAGTTGTCCATAGTTCACTGTACTTATCATCTAGGTCTATCCATGGGGTAACAAAACAACAGGCTTCTGTGCTGTTCATTCACAGTCAGTCTGTATGCATGTACTTTATCTGCTCAGAAGATGGTAGACATGTTGCTTGTTTCCAGTACTTGGCTGTTGAGAGCCATAGTAAAGTGTGTGTGGATGTGCAGGTGGTTCCTTAAAACATTATTTTAATGACTTTAGATACATATTGTTCAGTGAATCAAAAAGTACTTCAGTCTTTAAGATTTGGAAGTATGCCTCTACTCTTTCCAATAATAAATATGGCATTATTACCTACAGCAGATAAGGGGTAGTTTTTCTCCATATCCTCAACAGTCTTCAGTCTTTTTAATAATAGCCATTGTTACTAGATGAAGTGATCGCACATTGTAGTTTCACTTGCTTGCCCCTAAGGGCTTGTGGTAGGGATAAGAATGTTTGTTGTTGTTTTGCTTTGTTTTTTCACATATACTGTTGACTATCCACAGTCTTCTTTCAAGAATGTCCATTTAGCTATATTTATAATTTTAATCAGAATTTTTCTATTTTTAAATTCTTATGAATGTTGACATCAGGTTACATATTTTGGGAATATTTTTTTTCCTAGTCCAGAGATGTTTTATCCATATTAGCATCTTAATGAATGCAGAAGATTTCATACTTAGATTTATGTTTTTGGGCTGCCAACCCACACATAATGATATGGAGACTTGTTATTAATTAGGAAAGCTTGGCCTATAATATAGATTTGTTCCTAACTAGCTCTTATAACTTAACCTATATACATATATTAATCTGCATTTGACTATGTGGCTTTTATCTCTATCTCATTCTGTGTGCACAAATCATTCTGCATCTCGCTGGCTTCTCTGACTTCTTCTCAGAGTCCTGTCTGTGCCTAGAAGTCCCACCTATACCTCCTGCCTAACTATTTGGCCATTTTACTCTTTATTAAACTAATCAGAAGGTGCCATCACAAACATACATCTTCACAATGTAAAAAAAAGGTTATTGAACAACAAGGTTTAACACCCTTAATGGAAAAATTCTGAAGAAATTTGATATAGAAGAAATTAACTTGTTCATAATACAGTTTCACTCATGAAAAACTTACTACTGGCATCATGAGAAATGTAGGAAAACTGAGAGCTTTCTTTCTGTGGTCTGAAAAAAGACAACCATAACAACTTCATCACTATTGAATGTAGTACTAGAAATCTATAGAAAGCAATCATGGAAGAGGAAAAAGATAGGACATCCAAATTAGTAAAAATAAAATCATTACATCATTGAAAATTCCCTGAATGCTACCAAAAAATATGAATATTTTATAATCTCATCCAAAAGAAAGGATACAAATAAACACAAGGCATTGGTACTATTGCTGCTGGTCCAAAGTAAATTATTTCAAATAGAAATCAAGAAAGAAAACCGAACTGGTTATTGTGGTACATGCTTGGTTTTATGGCCATTGGGAGTATGAGGTTAGCTCATGCTTCATAGTGTGAGTTTGTTCTAAGCTAGCCAGGATCAAGTCTCAACAACAATCAACTTATCACTGCAGACACAGCCTAAGAAGGAATGCATATGAAGTGATAAGAGAAGAAAGGAAAACACTTGTAAACAGAAACAGCCAGATCAGCTGAGTTAATACTAATCACCAATGGGGTGACTACTAGATCATTGAAAACATTCTGGAAAATTCTGTCTTCTAAACCCAATAAAGCTTTTCAATTAAGAACTTAAAGTAGCAATGTTTATCTCAAGAAGACCTGACAAGATCAAGACAGCAAAATCCAGTATAGATGGTAGAGATATTCAAGAGACCTACTCCTGAGTGGCTATTGTTAGCTGGGGGTGGGCCATCATTCTCTTGAGGCTGTGATACCTGACAGGTGGAACATGATCCATGGATGGTTCCATAACCATGCAGAGATGGGTAGTATCAAATGGAGTTAGTGGACAGTTTTCCAAAAATTGAGAGGACCTGAAGGAGGGGATGGATACATGGCTGAAGGTCACCTTATGATCACAAGGGCTGAGTCATTGGATCCAGCTGAATAGGAGGTATCCTCCTTTTCCTACCACTGAGTTTATTTCATCAAGGCTGTGCTCACAGTGAAGAGGAAAACCTTGCCGGCCAGAGCAGAAATGACCTTCAGTCAAGAGCACAGCCATTGCTAAGGTTCTCTGTTTGAATTGCAAGTGAGTTCTCAGGGCCATTTACATTTATGTTTAATGGTCAAGTTCAACTTACAAATGACAAATGCATGTGTATATACTTAAGAGGGATCAAAGAAACATTGTCCTCACTAATGAAACCAGTGAGTGGAAACAGGTGTGTGTGGGGTAACGATGACCATGCTTCATTTTGCACATGGGTAAATGTCTCAAAGAATAAAATATTTGACAAATAAAGTTAAAAGATGTGTTAAAGGATATTCAGAATGTAAATAATTGTCCTATGAGAGATTTATTTCCCAATAGGACTCCATACTGCCAGTTCCTTTTAACTTTTTTCTACATTTTTTTCTTACTTTTATTGTTAAAAATATCACAGAATTATGTATTCACACAAAGCTTCCTGTAATAGCCAACAGGTGTTAAAATTTTCACATATCATTTGTTCAAACAGCTCCTACTGGGCACATCCAAAACTCTACTAGCACCTTTTACCACTAGGGTAAAATACATAAGTTTTAGTGATGGGGGCATTTCAACACATTTTGCAAAACCACAAAGAGAGTGTTAACACAGAAAGGTTTTAATATGGTTGCAATGGTAGTTCAGAGGAGGAAATATCTGTGAAAACTGAGAAATCTCAGAATAAGTACTCTTGTATTGGGCGTTACATAAATAGATGTTCACCAGATGAATGGAGGAGATTGTAGATTCGTGAAAGGGCATGTTGTCAACCAGAAGCATCTTACAAAGGTTATAGTCTAAGGCAAAAGTTAAAAGATAGACTGTTGGCTCACAATGAAGATGTTTGCATATTACCAGGTGACTGATACTAGCGGGTAGAAACATCTTTGGGATGAGAGACACCGCTGCCTTAGAAGGCAAAGAACTGATATAACCTTTCTGTTTAAGCACGGGAAAGGGACAAAAGTGAGAATTTGTATTTCTTGTAACACTATATAATAATAATAATAATAATAATAATAATAATAATAATAATAATAATAATAAAGTACTATAATAAATTAAGTTAAAAATGTTTGGTTGGTTGGTTGGTTTTTGCAGATTTGGACATGAGGTAATAGATTGGGTTCTTTCAGAAAACAAAGTATTTAAAATTTACCTATTTGAATAACTTCATAGATTTTTGATCTATATAGCAATGAGGCTACACTATTTACTTACAAGACTGTACATTATAAAGTGTATAACCCTACTTTCCATATGGGATAATTCTTATCTTTATTAGTTAGATCCATAACAATATTGAGATCTGTGGAGAGAAGAATAGCCATTTATTAATAGAATAAGTTTAAGTATTTTATGCTGAAATATTTTTAAATACTTATTTAAATTATAATTAATAAAATATTATTCAATGTTGGAGTTGCAGTTGTTGCATTATGGCAGCATGAGCATCATTTCAGACTTTCACACTGTATTATCTTTATGTCTGTGTCCTTTCTTTGAGAGCCATTAGTTCTTTGAGCATTATTCATCTGATATTATAAAGGATGAATTTATCAAATACATTTAAATACAAACCTGTATACTTGTGAAACTGAGATATGTAATGTTTCTAGAAAAAATTATTATTGTTTTCACTAAATTGCCTGCCTTCCTTATTTTTCACATTTATAGAATTTACAGAAAATTCCAGTACCTACTAAATCCTCGTCAGGTTTACAGTCTCTCTGGAAATGGACCAATGCCAGGGTAAGTAAGCATGAGGATAACTTCATTATCATTGACCCACTTAATAGTTACTAATTAAATAACCAGTGTGATGTGTACAGAAAAGACATTTAACTTCTGCAGAGGGATCAGTATGCGATAACAAACAATGGGAACTACATAAGAAGAACAAACACACATAATGTTCTCCAAAGTGGCTAGAAATGCACTTCAGGGTGGTGTGTGTTCTAAATAGTGTATGTACTACTAATCATATCAAAAACACACACACTCACACAAAGACACATGCATACACACACACACAAACACAGAGCCGGAATTAAAACTACTAAACCTTGTTTGAAGAATGGCTGTCTTTCACTTGTTTAATATTAAGTATAGATTTGTTGCAGACTGAAAAAGAAACTAATTAACAAAGATTAGAAGTAATAATATAATTTTATCATTTATTATTTGCAAAATCTAATGAATACTACTCTTTTATAACATAGTTTATTATTAATATGTAAGTGGAATAAAATTATATTTCCAACCTGAAACATGAACTTTTGATGAAATAAATATAGACTGAACTAAATTATCATTAATTTGGTCTCATTAAGTTATTAATGTCATCCTCCTGTGGTGACCTCTTTTCTCTCTATCAGCATGGCAGTAAACATTACACCACATAAAGCAGAGAGAAGCTGAATAAGCTTTTGTGTACCCTGAAAAGACAAAAAGAAAGCAGAAACAAGTAGAGTTTAAAATAAGTCCTGGAGACTTTTCCCCAAGAACTAGAATCTAAGTATTCAAATCTATTGTTCCCTTAAAAACTGAATAAAATTAGTACCATGATAACATATGTAAAATATGTAAATATAGCCCAATTATCATAGTCTTCCAAAACTGTAATTGTCTATTTCTCACACCCCTTGCTGCTTGCCATTCAGGACAGGTTTCCAAACACTGAGTAGTGTCGAACAGGGCTTCTTTGCCATCAGTGGCAGACTCGTCCTAAGATTGATTCTGAAGGCTGCCTTTTCATGCTTCATATCCTGCTAGCTAAGCTAGAGAGGTTAACAACTAGTCACAGGCAGCAAGTCTTAACAAATGGCATCAAGGCTAGGAAAAGTCATGTGCCTAGCTAGGTAAGAGGGTTTCTTGAGATTGTGCTTTTCTTTGCTTTTGAATATTCTCTGTACTTCACAGAAGTAGCTTATTCTGAAGTGTTGAGGAAAAACCCATTTAAAAGTTAATCTCCTCAGCCTAACTGGAGCTGGATGGTGTGCATCAGGGTTGCACATATACAGAGAGGAATGGCACTGACTTCCCAGGAGAGCTATGACATTAAGTGGGCACATGTCTTCCAGACACATCACTGCATAGTATGTCTTCAGTAAATGACACTCATTTGTAGCACTCTTGGTGGTAATATTACCTGATAATTAGTAATGACATGCTTATCGTGTATGTGTAAGTACACCATAATAATATTGATTTTTATAAGGGTTTTCTCGTTTCAGTTCTTTTCAACTACTTGAAGTATCGCATGATTGGCTTTCCTCTTTACATTTTATGTATCCTAATATCCTCTAATCCTTTTTATAGTAAATAAATGGAAGTTTATATACATATATATCTACGTAACTGTAATACACCTTCACTATAAAAGGTACTTGTGTAAAAAAAAAAAAAAAAGTAAGTTCCCTTGTACTTCTACTTCCCTGCAACTGTGGTGTGGTAGTTTATCGACCTGAACAATCTATTGTATATATCCATTAAATAATTTTTAAGCTTATTCTTTTAAATTTCATTTTGCATTCCAACCACAGTTCTCCCTCCCACCTCTCCTCTGCCCCCCCCAACCTATCTCTCAGCCTATCCCCCATCTACTCCTTCCACAAGGTAAGGGCTCCCATGGAGGGGGAGTCAACAAAGCCTGGTCCATTAAATTGAGACAGGACCAAGCCCCTCCCCCCTGCACTAAGGCTGAGCATGATATTCCACCCTAGCAAATGGGCTTCTAGCAACATAGCTCTTCCACCTTGATACATATTGGTCCTGCCATTAGACGCACCTCTGATATACCAAACAATGCAACTGTCTCTCACATGCAGAGGACCTAGTTCAGTACTGTGGAGGCTCTATGGCTATTGGTCTAGAGTTTGTAAGTTCCCATGAGTTTAATTCATCTGTAGATTTCCTCTTTATAGTCCCTAAGCTCCCAGACACATTCCCTGCCTTTCCCTCTCCACTAAATAATTTATCTGTATATATATCTGTCACATTAAAATACATGCATGTTTATATTAATAGATGTTTTATAGAATGTTTCTATGAAGTTATGTGCATTTTTGAAAGTATATTGAAATAATTTCTTAAAATAAGTCGCAACAGGTAAAATGTTTTGGTTGATAATAATTTTGGTCTTAATGCTATTTCCTTCTAAATGTGTATAAAAATGTTTGAATTAAAATGTAATTCCAAGAAAAGCATATGATGTGTATTTCTCATAGTAGTTGGCAAATTGACTATCTTCTGAAGTTTTTACTTTTGTGTAATTTGATAGGTAAAAATACAGTATTATCATATCTATGTGCATTTTGATCAATTATACAATTTTCTCAACTGTGTATCTGCTTTGCTAGCAACAAGTACAACATGGAAAATTGTGAAGTTGTTTGCTGAATTGAGGATAAAATGAAAAATGGGGAGGTTTCAGAGCAGATGGGAGATAGGACAGTTTAAGAAATCAAAATCAAAGGAGTAACAATATCCCTGGCGTGACTGCTCAGAATAGCCACATCTGCTTGTTTTTTTTTTTTTTTTTTTTTGCTCTTTGAAAAATTAATAAATAAAAAATAAAAATCAAACCTCCTAGTGAAGCATGCACATCTACCTCACTGTAGTCTTGTCTGACATGCAGTAGGGAATCTTGGCTACAGTTTCTACCAAACAATATAAATGGGTTGTTTTCTCAAGGACAGTGAAAGAGAAATTCCTGGTAATAAAAGGCATTGCACGTCTACAACAGTGACAATTACAGCTGCTTGCACTCTAAGTGTTTTCTGGGAAACTCTTTGTAAAGACAATTCCCTTTTCTCCTTTTCCATTGAGTCTCATTGTATACAGATGCAAGCAGAAAATCTTAAGCATATTTCCAAATACAAATTTATACAGATGACACTTTATTTTTAGAAAATGTATTGCATATAGCACATCAAATAAATAATTAGTAAAATTATAAAAGAACAAGGCATTGTTATTTTAAACAGAAAATAGAAAAAAAAAGGTTATAAAACCCCTCCACCCGGGAAGTTTCTTTTGGATGATTTGGAGGGAGTAAAGAAAAGCGGAAGATGATTTATTTAAATTACAATTTCAAAAAATTAATAAATCACTTTTGTCCAAGTTGGTCAATGTGACAAAAGTGATGAGTCAAGTTACTTTACATTGCACTTAATCCCATTGCAGTGGGATTAAGGGAAGCCAAACTTTCACAATAATTGAGTCAAAGGAAGAACATATATTGGAATAATTTGTTTTTAAAATGCAAAATTACTTCTTTCTACTTCAGTACACAGAATGTTAAATTCATATTTTCACCATGTTTCATCACTCATGTCCCTTTCTCTACATTCTGCCCTTTATCCTCTTTAGGTTTCAACTCTAAATGGTTAGATTTTACCCTCCCCCCCCCACACACACCTTAGAAATACATTTTGGGCTATAAGATATTTGTTTGTTTGTTTCTGAATTTTTTTGTAATCTTATAGTAACCAAGTGACCTTATGTAATATTATACATTCCAAGGACATCTATTTTCATGGGAATTTCATTTTACATTTTTCTTTACAACTGAATAATATTATATAGTGTTATTTCCTGTCTACTATGAATAATGCAGCAGTAAACCAAGGTGTGCAAGTTTTCCTGTAGTAGGAGGTAGGATATGAACTCTTGGGCTATATGTTCAGGAATAGAATACTGAACCAAATTTATATATATATATATATATATATATATATATATATATAGTGTGTGTATACATATATATATGTGTATGTATAGTTATATATGCATACATATATGAAACTATTAAACTGATTTCTATAATGGCTATATTATTTTTTCTTCCACCAAGAGTCTCTTTCCTTATACTCTCCTCAACATCTGTCCCAAGGATAGCCATTCAGATTGGGTGAGGTGATGATTTCCATCTCAGCTGTAGAGCAGCAAACTACAAAATCTGGGCAAATCAGTGCTAGTGACCATAATCAATATCAGATCTATTTTTTGTGCCTGTTTTTTGAGTGATAGGTACAATAGCCTGAAAAAAATCAAGTTGATAGTTTCAGTTCAGTTGGAATATTGTTCTAACTCATAGTAGTGGTTTGTCTTTTTTTTTTCTTTTTTTCAAAATGTTTCATCTGTGCTGGAGACTAAAAGAATAGGAAACAATGTCATGATCATGTTCAGATATCAGCAAGCATGCATTCACCACTCAAGAGGTAGAGGCAGGAGGATTGCTGCAAGTTTGAAGCCAAATTGTGTATATTGTCGTTTACCAGATGGTGAGGGTACCTAGTAAGACCCTGTCACAAAATCACAATACCCAAAACAAAGGATGAAGCCACATCACTAACATCATGTGGATATCTTCAAAGCTTCCCAGGTGATTATATGAAGGTACCGTGGAGATGCACCAAGTTAGTAGACACTTTGCTATCTGGATGTCACAGATATAAAAGAACTTCCTAATATGCTACTAGTCATTTTCAACTGGTACAAATCAATATTTTATTACATCAGTAGGCTGCCATATTATCACAAGTGAATAGACCATGTTGATTTTTGTGACTTTCTGCCAAAGACTCATATACAAAAGGAAATTCCTCATGGAACAGTCTGATCAAATGACTGTACTCTTGCATAGACAGTGTGTTTCATATTGGTTTGAAAAATGTATCAAACTTGTAGCAGGCTTATGATTCACTGAAGTCAAATAAGGCCCACACTAAAGTTGCTCTCAACATGGT